GGCATGGTTTGATCATTTGCAGATCATTGGTTTTGAAAGCATTGATAATTTCTGATATGTTACTATCATACAGCAAGGCACATTGCAGTTGCTAACTTTGTCGATCTGTATTGGCAACCTATTATGTACCAGCCACAAATCTGATATTGCAGACTTGTAGATGCTTAAAAATGGGTTTTCAAATTGACTTTTAAGTTTGAGGATCGTGAACATATGATGGCATATTGATGGCTGTCATTATTGGCAAGTGTGTTGCAGTTGATTGAAAATGTGATGGAATGAATCAATATTCGATTGTGTTGTTTATTAACAAGTGAGTGAGTGTGTTTATAAAATGGAAGAAACCAAGAAAGTCATGTGAATTCCAGTTCAAACGTCATTGTTGTTGGTTTTTGATTGTTAAACTATTCAGAAATGTCTCACATTCACACACTACTAATGTCTCACACAATGCAAGTCAACACTCTCACACTAGTAATGTCTCACATGAATGAGACATTAATTCTGGTGTAAATTTGACTAATTTCCAAATATTTAAATCGTGTGAATTGTCTTGAAATATCCCAAAATTTTGTTATTTTGACTCGATTAAAAAGTCGATTTTTGTTTTACAATTTGACAAATAAATTGCTTTTTTACTCTTTTTCTTTTCATAAAATGCCAAAACGATTCCTCAATGTTGAATACGACACTATTTCTACTGAAATCGATGTGACTGACTTTGAAGACCTGAGTGACGTTCAGGATGCTATCAAGTCTGAGTATGGTCCTGTTATGGCTGACATTGATGCTCCTCAACTCCAACTCTACTCCAACAGTAACAAGAGCCAACTAATCAACACCTGGGCTTTACTCGACTCTCTTCCTCAATAATACTTTACTCAAGACGGTTCTTGTGTTGTTATTGGTGTTTCCCCTCCACCTTCAAGACAGCCTACTCAAACTGACCTAGGTCCAACATCTGCAGCAGCCTCACCCGCACTACTGGATTTTTGGACTGCTTTCACAAACTACCCTAACCCTCTTGAAGGAAACACTGTTGTCCAACTTCCAGCAGACGTATTCATCCTTGGAAACCATTCAATTGGATCATCCATTTACATCCGTCCTTGTTATCCTAAACTTTTTGAAAAATCACCATCTATTGTGCAATCTGCTGATATACGTCATTTGATCATCCTTGGAAATCCTGGAATTGGCAAGACATATTTTGGTTACTTTTTGCTGTTGCATCTTGCTCGCTCTGGTGCTACAGTCGTGTATGAGAGTGGAGTTGATCAAAAAAGATATTTGCTTACTCCCAATGGTGTATTCGAAGGAGGAAAGCATGCTTTTTGGAAAATCTTGGATTCCTCGTCAACATTCTACATTGTTGATGGCTCGGCACCTGTTGATGTTGATGCCAAGACCATTCTTGTTACTTTACCTCGTTGGGAAATTTGGCATCGGTTTTCCAAGGGGTCCTGCGACATTCGGTATATGCCAGTGTGGTCAAAAGAAGAATTGCATTCTTGTCGCTCAATGCTTTTTCCTACAGTTCCAAAAGAATTGGTTGAAAGTCTGTATTTGAAGTGGGGAGGAATTGCTCGTTATGTTCTTAAATATGCATTGGTAAAAGAACAACAGGATTTTCTCGACAAAGCTTTAAATATTTCCAATATCGATTCAGTTGTCAAGTCTTTTGGTAAATATGGTGAAAACCTAGACGCTTCAAGTTGTTTGATTCATATATCAGTCAAGGATGGCTTCCACAGTGGTCCTTATCAGTTTGCTTTTGACTATGTGGTTGATGAAATTTACAACCGTGTGTATGCCAGAGACCGAGATCATCTTATCAGATTTGTTTCTGTTGCTCGAGAAATTGGTGAAACTGGTCAACTTAATAGGGCATTATTCGAAAAGCACGCTCATACAGTCATCGCTAAAGGTGGTTCATTCAAGATTCGTGATTTACGTACCAAGCTGGAGTCTACACTTCAACTGCCGATGGATCTTAGTACTTTGTTATTGTCCAACAATTCTCAAGTTCAAGACGCAACGAATTGCTATTTCCGTCCCATTAGCAATATTTTTGAATCTGTTGATTCGTTCATCAAGCCAAATCTACTTTTCCAAATGACCGGTGCCAAAGATCATCCTTGCAAACAAACTGGGATTTGTGATGTTTTGGAAATACTTGGTAATCCGTCAAAACCAGAACTGTATTTTGTTGTACCTCCTGATCGTTTTGCCTGTTTTACACGCCAAAGCTACCACGGAACAGATGGTCAAGTGTTGTCACAAAACGATACTATTGCGAGTGTTGAGAAGTTGACTCGATTTGTTTTGACGTTTGAACCATCTCATCAATAAGGTATGTAGACTAGAATTAATGATTTTTATTGGCCGCATAACGCTAATCCTAACTCTGTTTCTCGACCTCGTTCTACACAATACACGGCGTTTGATTTCTTAAAGGTGAATAATATCGTATGGGTTCCATCGGACAACAAACCTCACTTTGTGGAAATGACCACTTTCATTGTCAGCAACTTCCCAGTCGTGTAATTTAATCGCTTTGGTTTTGAAACCTATAGTTTCTTGTAAATAATTGCATATCCCAAGACTGTTTTTCACCATACAGTTTTGAAACTAATATTTTGATTCAAGAACAAACTGCGTTTTCCTTTTTCTTTTGCAAATAAAAGTTGTTTTGTTGCTTATAATTATGGTCAATCAATTGACTGCCAAATTGTACAGCAGTTTTGCTGACATTGGATTTGTCCGATCGATAGTCTCGGGTTTCAAACTTGAACCAAACTCCCAGCTGACAAAACACTGCAGGGATTGTTACAAGCACAAAAGCAGCTGTTTCAAGAGATGTTGGTATGATACAAGGAGTACCAGAAAGTATACTCTTACAAAGAATTGTTTGCAACTGAATTGAATCAAATAGCCATACGTGATAAACAGCGGGTTGATTCTGGCTTTATTCCCAATCAATGGTATTGACAAAACCAACCGGGGATGAGCCAAAACCAAGAGTTGGAGGCTAGACACAATTATGAATGGAATATGCTAGAGTATCAAAAAGATGATCAAAGAAAGCGTGAAATTCAACAGATCAGCAATGATGTCCAAGTGCATAGTGTAATCAAGCAAATTTGAATCCATTTTGACATTGCAAGACACAATATCACATTTGGAAGAGTTGATTGGAAATATAAAGACTCGTACTCGATAAACACGGACTTGTCAGTAGTTTGATTTTATACTCTATCATTCTTACAACAAGATCCAGCTAAACCCAGTCTGTGTACATTAACGCTTGGTACTGGTTAAAAAACTACCCATTGTATCCGATTTGAGGCATCAAGTATGAGTCTGGCACAAATAGCTCGTATTTATTATGAATTACAAGCAAAGCTATTGACTATTCTACCCTAATACTTTTGACTTGAATTCCTTTCTGCGAATAATTTATGTTTTGACAACTTTGTACATGATTTAGCAGTAAGTGTCGGTTAAAAAACTGGTATCATCGGGTGTTCTATCTATACTACTTTTGATTGATAAAATGTCAATATGTTTGTACAACAGTTCGGTACAACCGACTGTCTGTGGATTATTATCACACGAGTCAATGCTGACCTGATTTGCGATATTCAGTGTTGTTGGAATATCAACACAACATCAACACCAAACATCAGATTGACACTGCACGTTGATGTTGATGAATGCAACATGAATATTGAAACAATGCATCATAATGCGTACAAGTCGCAGATTGCAGTTCAAACTCAATGCAAAGTGCACATTGTTACAGTTTGGTCATGAACAAAGCGATACGCACAATGTGCAGTTTATGTCTACGACTCGACTGATTGGTAGACAACGACCATTTGCATTGTTGAACAGTAAACTGATCAGTAAATGACCATCAAACGCATGGCTTGGTATTGACATTCAAGCAATCACCATGATTGTAATATTTGCAAGTTGTCCACAAGTTGTTTACAAACGACCATCAATTGACAATGACATGCATGTGTATGTGCATGGTTGACTATACAATATACTACATGAACCAATATTACTGACTGAATACAGGTCACAACTGCAAGTATCCATGTGGTAATGGACTGACATTGGTGTTGATATCCAATTGATTGACTAATCGATCATCATCAATTGCATCAGTGATTGGTATATGCAACTGATATACACCATGTCCGAGTCTGATACATGTCGATATATGCGTGTCAATCAGCAATGCATATTTGTGGTCATTACAGTCGAATGTGAGTCGAGTCGATCACTAAACCAACCAATCAATGATTGCAGTCTAAATGTGGTGCGATTTGATGCAACATGACAATATATTATCCAGCAGGTTCAACATCGATATCCAATACATCACACATGAATACACTGCATATACAAGCAGTAGCAATGACCAATCCAAACCAACAGTGACAGAGTTACACATCAACATATACTCGATCATCAGTCGAATCTGCATATATCAACCAGTTGCAACACGTCATAATCAATGTGGATTGTATTGCTCACCAATCGATCATGACAGCTAATCAATACCAATCATGTAGTCAATACAATCACCAACATATCGATGATTGTTGACTGGTGGTTACAACTCGTCAATTACATCCAATGTTACAGGTGATGCACATCTGATTACTGCAAGTCAACAACTTGTCAAGCATATCATAGTGTGTATTGCCAACGGACCATGCAATTACAAATCAATGTATACGTGATCAACATTTGATATTTGATGGTGATGAATCAACCATGATTGATTGTATCATACAACTAATACAGTTGCATTGTCTGGTATTGATGATCGACCCAGTCATGTTAAACAGTAACCAATGTGTGTATATCGAGTTTGTGTTGCATGGACACATCAAGGTGTTTGATAACGAGTCCAACGTGATGATACAAACCCAATATTATATGAATATCCAAGTTGATGAATCAAGTCGAGGTTTGCAAAGTGTCAATGTCAGGTCAATCAAACGAACCAGTCAACCATTATATTGTGACTAGTGATGGCACGGTTTGAATATCAACGAGTTAGACAGTCGACAATATGGGTGATTGTGATTTGGTCAAACTGCAACACTTGCATATCACTGAATTGATTTAATGTGTGTGATGTGTGTGGTGTAAGCAGTATGCATAAACTCGTTGATATCATGGACTATAACCAATATACACCACACATATGCAGTAGTAAACACCGACGTGTGATGTATCCAGTGATCGTATACTGGTCGATTGGTGCAATATGATCATACATACTATTGTATTGGTGACAAATGGTCGTATAGATGACTGAATTATCATATACAAGTCATTGGTATCCTTGTCGCATTATGGTGCCATTACACAGCATTTCTACACAAATCACACCCTGATGCTACGCTTCCAATTTCAATAAGCAATTATATAAAGAAAGAGTCTTTCAAAGTCATTTCAACATTGATAACAAATCAACACCAACCCTGATAGTGACACAAATCTCTTAGGATGGTCATCCAAGAAATATGCTTTTAATATCATTTATTCAATAATGGATATAAATATAGTTCAAAAACTGGCTCGTTGAATGACATTACAACAACTTGCTCAACCAACCACCAAAATGAAATTCTCAATTGCCGTACTGTCATCGCTGTTGGCTGTCTTCTCGGTCACAGTTGCCAATCCAGTTGATCCCAGTTCGACCATGAGTGCTAAAGTCAGCACTGCGACAGTTCCTCCCAGTGCAACTGAAACTGCAAGTGCTAAAGCTAGCATCTTGAACACTTTTACTGGGTTTGATTATCCAGAAAAAATTAAAATCATATAATGAGTTTGGCAAGTATTGCTATTCAATTGGCTTGGAGGGAGTATTCATGATCGAAGAACACGCAACACTTTCAGTTAAAATCGACAAAATAGAGAAAGATATTCACAATGTAGATGCTCGGATCAAGGCTCAAAAAAACTTGCTGTATAATCTGGAGCAAGATTTTGACTTTCTAAATAGAGCCTCGGGTCAAGGATCAGTAGACCTCGACCTTGAAGCTAATATTAGAACCCAGCGTGAGTTTCTTGATGAACTCCAAGAGATTCTCCAAAAAATTCTTGATGGGTATCGGATTAGGCTTAAAAAAGATTCAGAGCAAGAATTGGAGCTTAAACATTACTTTGAGCATCACCATAAGTTTGAGGTGACAGATTCTGACGATAATATAAACCTGGAATCGTATCACTCGTACAAGAGCTGTTTTGACTTTTTCTACAGTTACTTTTCAAGTGTATTTTCACGGTTTGAGCAGGATGCTCAGCAGCAAGCTTTACAACCATAGACCTGTCACGATGTTGGAGTTGAGTGAACCATCACAGTCTCATCTAGAATATACTACAATGCAGCGTGTATTGCATGGTGGTTTAATTGTCATGTGTCATGCATTCAATGTCATTCATTCAATAAACATCCTGTATTGCCAAACAATAGTGTATTATACTAATGGTTTGATCATATTGCACCAATCAACTACTATGTGCTGTCATGACTGATCATTCGGTGTGCTACACATATTGGATGCATGCAAATCCATGACTGTGGATCCCTTGTTGTTGAAATGGGTTCAGATCACCATCAGTTTGCTCATTCGTTGCACCGATGTGATTGCATGATCAACCTGACACCAACCAAACCACACTCGAATATATATGTTCCAGTCATGTGCATGGTGTATCGATTGTCAACTCACAATGTCAACTCCAACACATTCCACCATGATTATGGTCACATCACACCATGCTGATGTATGTCGATCCGTATCACATTGCAACAGACTGTCATCCAATGACTACAATGCAATACCGTGCATGTATTGTGACTGATACGCTGTGCACCATCAGCAAGTGTACAACTGTCACTTGATATATCGAATCTGATATGCAACAACATGCTGTGTTTACCATGATCAGGTTTTTGATCAATCTCTGACTCACGGTACATGATTTGACATGTTGGATTGTGTGGATGTGTCATGGACTGCAATTTAGTTGCAGACACACATATGTTGAACATTGACTGATGCATACTGTGCAACGACTGATCAGTGCGGGTGTGATTGCACACTTGGTGGTATTGTGCATTATAGTTGTTTGACAATGGATGAATGCTGGATTGGTCAGTTATATGCAACCTGTTTGAATCGACCTATTTGAACAAACACTCGATGTAACTGACAACAATGTGTATACATGGCTGTTGGATCAATCAAGTTTGTGCTGATATCGCCATACATGAGTTGATCAACAAACTTGTAGCACTGCCAAAATACACTCGTATGGTTTGCTTGCATGTGATAATCTTGTGGTTTAACACCCAAGTTTATTTTACAGTCGTATTCACGTAAAATCAAATACTTTTCTGTATTGATCTTGTAATGATTGTCTTGGAATAAACAATCGTTACATATTCATTGTTGTTGTTGGAAATGGATTATTTGTTTTATTGAAGCTACAAGTTGTTTGGTGTATGGAATGGCTCAGCACACACAGTCATTCCAAACACCAAAGTAATTGTCAGCAGGGTTCAAGAATGGACAGTATGATGCTGTATAGTGTAGTTCCAAACCTCGCGCTGTTTGTTGAATAGTTGTTAAACCATGTCTAATTAGAGTTGTTTTGTGGAATGGAATGTTGTCTAGAATAAAGTGACCGTTTGGAACCGTTTGGGAATGTTGCATGTCATTGTTTAACAAGTTAATATTACAGCATTCACTGCTGCCTTGATCAATCTCTCAACACATTGATCGTCATATGAAACACACACTATTAGACTATAGTTTTGAACTGAAATGTTGTTTTTGGACTGTACTCTTTCACCTCTGTTTGTATAGCCATACATTGTACAATCACCAAGTTTAAACCCAACTCGTCCATTGCAATCCAAATATTTGATTCTATTGTGCGAATGTTTTCAATACTTGACAACTCTTTCTTGCCAATCCATCAGTCGCTTACAAGAGTGAGCTTTATGTATGTGTTGTTCCATTTCAAGATGCTTGAAATAGTTGGCTGACAGATGTGTGCCTGGTAAAAGTCCATTCGAGCACTACCAACATCACTTTGTCCGAGTGTTGGTGACTTTACGAGGTTGTCACATATCCACTTTGCAATGTATTGTTCGAGTCCAGAGTCTGATAATGACAAATCTACACTGTAAAGAGTGTAAAGAGTGGAAACACTAAACACTTTGTCAAGTTCAGAATGTCTTGACTACAAACTGAAACCCAAGACTTTGGCATGACAGAATCTCAAACAGCAGCAATGAAATGACCCATAACTATACAGCATAACGTCTGTGACAAGAACAATTGTTTTACCACTCGACATAGTTGTTTTGGTTCCAGAACTAAAATATATGATGGTTATGGT